AAAATTACGCGGAAAAAATTGCGGAGGAAAACACATCCCGGGGAGGAATGAATTGCTATTCGCGGACGGAAAAGGGGGGGGGGGAGGGGCGTTTTAATTGTTACAGCGTTTCAGAATTAGCCTAAACGAGCTTCTTAAATTGTACAACGAAATTCAATTTGCCGCAGGAAAGGCGCGCAAACAGGGTTAGCAAGGGGGAGGCTTGAAGTTGAATTGCGTTACGCATTAAGCAAGTTTTTGTAAGTCGTTTTCCCGCTTCTCGCAGATTAGCCGTAACACGGAAATTTTTATCGACGCAAATTAACGCGTGGCCTCGCGTGAGAGACGGCGATTCAGCGCGATTTTAATCATGATTTTGTAGGTGCGATATAATTTTTTTTCACGTTATTTTTTTTTTTTATAAATCTCTACCCTCAATTCGTAGGCACGCGTGACAGCGAGAATTATACATGCGATCGAACGGAACGCGATGCATCCGTGCACAGAGATGCCGCTATTAGTCTCTGTAAATTGGCGGAAATTTTATTCGATGCGGAATGTTCTGCGAAACGAGTATTTACACTTGATCGTACGGCGAGAAATGCCACGGAGCGTGACATTTCGCGGGGTTGTTATTTTTTATGAATACGTTTTCCGCCTTTGCGCCTCGTCTCGATGTCGCGCTCTCTCTTCGAGATTCGCGTGTAGCGTACAATCTGTTATTTTAAGTCAATTAAATCGGACCCTTTTTTAAGCCATCACGCTGTGCCTTTATTGCATCCTTGATCTTGGCGATCGCACGTTCCTGCGAATGAATTAGAAATTCGTAACTGAATATCCCGCGGATGATCCTGCGAATTCGGTTACCCGAACTTTCCGCTGACAATGAGAGAACATCGATTGTATCGGGTAAGGTACGTACGCCCTCGGCGAACTGGTGAATAACAATGATGTGTAATGGCTTGAGATTTTTTATTAATCTATCTCTCATTTTATGTATACGTAGATTTATTCATTTTTGTATACTCATATGTTATGTATAGTGTATACATTGTTACTTCTTCATTGGTGTTCCTCTTTTAAAGACGATTGTGTCTTCCTGTTAGCATATTTGCGGTTTTTATTCTTTTTCTCTTTCGCGCTTCTCTCTCTCTCTCTCTCTCTCTCTCTCGCGTTCTCTTTCTCTCCCGCTCTCTTACATTTTTTTCTTTCTCGCAAGTGATTCGATTGAGGATTACACGGTGACGCTTTTTTTATCGGACCCAGCTGCACGACACGCTTAATAATCGTGACAGGAGCGGAATACGATAGCGAGTTCTCCTTTTTTTTTTGAGTGTCGATGAATGCTTCGATGCACGCTTCAAAGTGGAAAAAGGGTATCGTTGTCGGACTGGCAATTTCTGCTTTTGGCACTGCCTTGGCACTTAACTTTCAAAAATCACTTTAAAAGCCCTCGTCACTCTAAAATTTATGGCTCTCCGATTCCGTTCGCTTTACTGGAGAATAAAGTAAAGTATAGGAGCGGAAATTTCAGAAATCAATTTAACTTTTTAATCTCCAGGAAAATGTAAATATTGAAATTATTTAACGGTACAGAGTATATACAATTCGTATTCGTATTAACGGGGGGAATCAAGTTGAAAAGGTAAACTTTATGTGCCTACTAAACGAAAGTAAACCTAGACTGTTACGCAATCTTGAAAAACACACAATGGATACTCTACACGGCCAATTTTCTGCTTTGTATCAATTTATATTTCTATCTAGTTACCTTTAATTCTCTTATGTATCTATACTTAAATTTCTCACGGGCCCCCGAAGAACGCTTGGCTAGTCCGATAAGAGCAGAATTGCCCGACGTATTTAAGATTTCACTCGTCAATTATTCGTTAAGTGTCTTCAGAGGCCGTTATAATTTCATAAAGAAAATCTCGCTATGTACCCAACCGCGCTGGGATGGCGCCACGGGATAGAGGAAAGGAATGAATACACGAATCGTAAATTACGCAAGGACATACCCACCAAAAATGCAACAACGACTTTATGTCCCTGAAATTGATTTTTCGGTCCGGAGAAAATCTCTCTAAAACATGTCGAGAAACGGAACGCGGAACTCGTTCGATCGATCGCGATCCCGATCACCATTGATCCGATCGCGTTCTCATCGTTCCCCGATAAATCTCTAGAAAATTGTTGCCTTAGGTGGTAAGTTAAAAAAACTTAAGTTTACATGACGAGAGTATACAAAGTTGCAATTATCGCGGCTAGAGCGTGATTACAGAGTCGATTACAACGTGAAACGACGATATAATTGAGCAAATAATAGGATAACAATAAAAATTCCTTTTGATCGGTGTTCCTCGCGAAGGAGCAAATCGAAAAGCTTTCCGGATCTCCGAACCTCCGTTTTTCCATTTTCCGCCGTCTGTAATCTCCTTCTCGCGCACGATTTGTAACGCGTTATTGATAACAGACAAAGAGAGGAGATGGCCTGTCTTTCTCGCAATCGATACATGACGCGCGTAAACGTCATCGGCGAGATTTATTCGCAGTTGAGGGTACAACATATACGCGGCGATTTACCTGATAAACGTGTCGCTGCGGAGTGAAAATTTGATTAAAGGGACAGTCAGAACATGAATTTTTTACCCATATGCGCACTCGTCGCGTTCATTGATGGCACACGAACGTCATAAATCTGCGACAGAGGTCGGCAACTGTAGACGAACATAACTCCCAGCTCTGAATTGTGACTAATATTGCACGGTTATTTAATTTCAATTCGAGATTTCCTACGTCAAATAAAACTTACGCGATAAATTATATTTCCTGACAAAACTTTCTGCCGAAGTCGCAACATTCTGTGAAAATTATTATACTCGAAATACTTAGAATTCGGAACAATAGAGACAGTTACTGACAATTGAATCGATAAAATCATACACGATTATGCCATACCGCACATAAATTTGCATCAGCAAGTATAATTTTACATCACACAAAAAAGAATTTCAATTAAGGTACATTCAAGTATTGTACAATATAAAATCTCGAAAATTCGTTTTCCGAAAAGCAGCTCGTCAAAAGATTGGTATAGATAGTAAACGATTATATTTACACATGTTATTGTTGTTTTGTCGATATTTTTACGGGGATAAGAAGAAAGTACAGGTAATTTTTGAAAACTGTGCTTGCCATTATCTCGATATTAAAAGGGTCAGATCGGTGAACGTCCAGGAAAATAATTTATTTTAGTTTTAGACAGAGAGAGACTGGAGTGCGACGACTTTCGCACATGTTCCATAAGCTTTCTTTTAGTCTGATGCAAAGTTGCACTTGTTCATGTAACTGTTCATCACGATTACCAGGCTAGAACGGCTTGCAACAACATATACGATTGTAGTATACATGTTAATGGTGGTTATAGGTAATCGTTTTCATGACGATACACGTAAACGTTTCTTACGCATATAAATGGTTTACACTGGATGATACGAGTGACAGGGATTTGCATGCGATACGATATTACTCGCATATTGAGAGCCGATGTATGATCCACGTGATCCGCTTTTAACACATATGTTACGATAGAATTGCTGTAAAAATTATTATTCTCTACGCGTTTGCGCCCGGGACAGTGTGTATATGTGTGTGTGTGTGTGTGTGTGTGTGCGCGTGTGCTCAGAGATTTGTAGCGCGAGAATTGTGGAGTGGAAGATTATAAAGGGCTATCCGTCATGTACATGCGTTTATCTCCGCAAATACGTGTTTTATAAAACGAAAGTGTAGAACGTACGTTTGCAAATTTCGTTTGTAAACGAAATTTCCGAAATATCGAGAACGATGCGCGACGATGCTGATCGAAGCCTCGCGGGAAGTCTTCTAATCTCTCATTTTGGAAAAGAATACGCGCAGAGAATTGTCTCTTAAAATTTATCCTGAAAATCGTGCAATCGTGGGCAAACGTGGCATTTTGACGAATTTTATAAGAGATTTTTGAAATTTTACCACACATTTTACTAGTAAAACGTACGGCAAAATTTCAAAAGATCCATATGTAGTTCTTCAAAATGCCACGTTGTCCCACGAGTACATAATTTTCAGGATAAATTTTAAGAGAACATTCTCTCCGCGTAGCTGCTGAAATATAATAGCTCTTATGACATTCCACTCCATAATTTGTTGATACGCGCTGGAATGGACGCCTCGTACTTCAGCTCTCAGTTTATAAGACTGCAGTGTATTGTGGATACATATAATATATATATGTATATGTACAATCGCGATTATCGTTTACAGAATATTGGCTCTTATTAATACTATTTTATATTACATTGCTTCACAAATAGGGACATACAATGGACATATCGTGTTCGTTAAAAATGTTAAATGCACATTTGTATAGTACACAATACAAACATCTAACATATATCCATTTGATTTCTCGGAATTCCTATATCTCCCACAAAAATTGTTTCCGTAACCGTCGAAGTACGAGGCGCCATTTTCGCGCTGATGCCGCTACTCGATACGCGGAGCGTCAGAAACTCACCCTTGAATTTTAACGATAAAATCTGAAACGAATTTAACGGTCTGCTTCTCGAGGATAGTCGTCGTTTACCGCATTTTAATATATTTAATATAATCACTGAATTTTTCACAAGTAAAAATAGATAGAGACAATAAGATTTCGGTTGGCCTTCTTCAATTACAATAATTAGGTACATGATAGATTCCCCAGTTCGTGTTCGATCGTTTAATAGGTAAAAAATTACTGACGCCTCTGAACACATTTCGATCAAGAGAACATTTATTTCGAGCAAATTTATTATTAAAATTAAGGTCAGCGGTTCCGGAACGCCCTGCAGATGGTTTTTAAGTGACGAGGGTCGAGCTCGCTTGGATCGTACGACGATTTCATCTCGACAGCGACAGCACTCGCGGACGCGACGCGACGCTTCGCGCTTGTCACTCTCCGATTAATGTAATCTTCTTTTCACCTTTTTTTTGTTATCTTTTGCTTTTCATTGATAGATTGTTCTGAGCAATTGAGATCTAGCATTTGGAGGGATTTCATATACCTGAAACGTTAGTCACTCTCGTCATCGCGCTATCGCGTCCGTTTCGCACCCTGGATACTCTCCTCCGTCGCGTTTCAGGGCGCAAGTCCTCGTTTCACCGCACTGACAATGAGACCGCCATAGGGGGATCCAGTTTGTTCGAAACGCTGATGACACCCGTCACCGTCCTCGTCTCTCTCTCTCTCTCTCTCTCTCTCTCTCGAGTCCTCTCGTTGACGTAGATAAACGCTGCTTAACATCCCACGTCCTCTCCGACGTTCCTTCCATCCTCAGTCTCTTTACTCTTTATCTCTTTTTGCCTAATCATTTTCTCTTTCAGATATTTCTTTCTCTCTTTCTCTCAGCATCGTACTCGGCTCTCATCCATCCGCTCTTCGCACTCATCGCATTCAGCATTCACACTTATCTGAGGATAACAATTGACATACGTTTCGTAACTTTCCTATACGACTAGACAATGTGTCGTTGCATTGCCTTATACTTTTTATTATTTTACTTTTGTAGTATTAATACTATTATTTTTTCTCCCCTTGACGCGCGGCTGTACATCGTGGAGAATTGATCCGACGACAGAGCCCGTGCTCGCTAAAGTCTCGTTTCTTATTTATTTCTTAAAAAAAAAAAAGGTACGTCCACGAATTCAACTGTCGTATCTGCACGCTCGTGTCGATGAATAATTTTCGTCCCCCTTTCTTCCACGTTCGCGATCCGCTTTTCGCGACGATGCCGATGAAGCTGATGTGCCGCACGACGGCCGCATACACCGTGTCCCCTCGCGATTGCTTCGTTTACGCTAGGCCGCCGAACGCGCTGGTCCGGTTTCGTTTCGATTCCTCTTCTGTCCTCGAGTACGCGAGACTTGGAGTACGTTCATTCATGCACGTCGCATCGCTCATAGCGACGGCGTGCACGACACGCTGGAATTTTCCAAGCCATCCTGCATCTCCTCTTCCCTTATCCCTTCTTCCTCTTGGTCGATATCACTACTACTACTACAGCTACCACCACCACCACCGTCACCACCGCCACCGCTACCGTCACTAGAGAATAGGTCCGTTTCACGGCGAGCTACAGGTCCATTCGACTCGAAAGCCCACGGGGGCGAACTCTCGATGAAGCGTTAACGGGAATGAATCCGAAATTCGACCGTCATGACAAATGCGCGTGACCTTGCCACGTCCGCGACTATGATCGGTATCATGATGGCACGTGAGAACCTAACGAATGTTCGATATCAAAATCGACGATCGACGGCGCGTGTCTCGTGTAAAAAAGATCGGATTGCCTCGCTTCGTGATCCCGTTCGTTCCTTTGGAAGAAGACAGCTAAGCGAGGGGGAAGAAGCGAGGCAACGCTGGACAGGACGTCTATAATATACGCTAATCACGGAATGGTCGAAGAAGCCGCAAAGAACGCGACGCCTTCCGAATCCGCGCGCGCGTTCGAGTCCTTGTTGTTCTTTTTTAATAAGCTACGGTTAATTCTTTTTCTTTTCATGTGCGCTAGACTGTTCTTTCCTTATCTGAAATATTTTAGTCCCGCGACCAGCAGGAATTTCTCGATGAAAAGCTCGGAGTCGAGGACGGCGATATGCGCGGCTCGGCCTATCAGGGCGTTCGCCGTTGGCGGTAGAGCATGATGCACGTCGTACCTGACGAGACTGACGCCGGGCGCCGACATCACCGGGTACAGAATGTTGTGCACCATCTCGCGATACGCGGCACCTGGAAGAATCGGGAGAAACGATTCGATTTCTAATTAATTTGTTTAACGTCTTTCATTGCTAATTGATTAAAGCCCCGTTTAAAGTATCAGGTAGAATATGACCAGATCATATTAGGTTACATGCAATTTCAATGGGAATAAACAATAGTTTTATCTGGTCATATTCTACTTATTACTTTGAACAGGGACGTCTTTGCTTCATCAATTTGCTTATTAAAAAGAAAACGGGCCACGAAAGCAAAATGATCGACGCTCGAACGCGAGATACCTTGATCCGTTGGATCTCGTACGGCAGCCTTGCAAAGCTCGATTCGGGCAGAGTGCAAGGGCACGTATCGATCCTGGGCGCTGCCGCACAGCAAGACGTGTTTGAACTTCTGCAGATTGCTCTTCTGGCTCAAACGGAACATGAAGGAGCGTCTCACGTCCGGCGAATCCTTCATGGCCAGTTGTAACAACGATCCGGACTTCTTCCACTTCTGCATGAACCACATGCCTATACAAGATTGGGTGACGAAATAAAAATTACATTCGAGACCGGCGCTCTTGCGATATCGGGCGATACTCCATCGCGGACACTTGTCAGGCTCACCTGCGTTCACCAAGCCGCTCGTGTTGTAAAGAGTGCCCAAGTGTGGTCCGCTCAAGCTGAGGAAGGTGTGTAGACGAGGGAGAAGCGGACGCAGCTGCGGTCGCGTCAGGGCGCTCCGGATGATTATGGTCCCAAGGGAATGCCCGATGAAGCTCACTTTCCTCGGGTTCAGACCCGACGATTCAATGTGGTAGAGAATTTCGGACACCAATCGGTCGGTCATCGTTTCGAAGTCGGAGAAGGTGTCCCCCTTTCGTATGCAAGCGACACATGACGGTTTAGTAAGGGGTTCTAGAATCTTGGACAGTTCTGAGATTTGCAAATGACAATTATTCATTTATTGATATACGCGTTGAGTTGAAGAAGTTAAAATACGTTTGCAGTATGAAAGCAACTGGCGCAATTAATTTCACTGCGACTAACACTCTGAGGATTAACGTTCTAATAATTAACGAGTTTGAGAGCTCCTATCGTCGCCAGTGGTAATTTAAACGAAAATGCAAAGCTTATAGTCGACCAGACTGGCAAAATTTCAGTAATTTACGTGATGTAACAATAATTTTATCGGGCATTACAACCTTGTTCAGACTCTGAGCCCCTTTTATTATACAAATTTGATATTATTTACTTGAAATTAACAATGTCAAACATTTCGACTAATTCATGTGATCCTTCTGAATGACGATCGAATATAAAAAAAAAACCTATCGTCAACCCTCACGTCAACATATTATTGTGTGTTATAACGGCAGCAGTTAGAGTATAAAAAATAATGTCACAGTATTTTATATATAATAAATAATATAAAATTGGTTAGTCTTCTACCGACCTTTCACAACAATTGACGTCTTTTAAAATATTTTATATCTACTCCATATGTGTTACTGTGCAGAGTGATTCGTTCCTCCATGTATTCTTATATTACTACCAATGTTACCCATTTTTTGCTGTCACATCTAATGGGTTGTTAAGAATTTTTTAATACTTGATAAGGACCAGTATTACTGGTCGAAACGTTGTATGTTCTAAACGAAATATATTGTGCCAGTTAATTGTCGACGTTATCCTTATTATTTATAAAATTTGTTATATCCGCACCTAATATCTAGCGTCCGGCTCTTATTGCCCCTTACATTGCGCCTTTTAATTAATGTTTCAGTAATTTACTTACGTTTCGGCCTTACTCCAGGTCCTTATCAGGTAACAATATTTAAACGGTGGTAGTCGGAAAACAGGAAGAGTGCATGAGCTTGTGCCAGCAAATTCGTAAGTCAGAATGTTTCCGTCGTCAAATATAAAAGTCGTGAGCTTTGCACTTTCGTTCTGACAACTTGGCGCTTGTAATTAAATGTAATTTACTTGATTCCTCTCGGACATGAGGAAATCCAGATGCGCCCCGGGCAGACCCAATTCCAGATACGTCTTGACGAGACGGAGATCGGCAGCATTGCCATCGAGACCGTGGACGCATATGATAAGGTGCGCACCCTCCGGCGAGAAGAGTCGATACTCGTCGCTGATGTGGAAGTACGGCAGGGTCGAGGCCAGGGTCGGGTAGTCACTAAGAGGCACATGGGATCTTAATGGTTGAACCGATGGCGAGGAATTCAGAAGGTCACCGTATCCGAGGGAATGGGCACGTTTATGTAAATGCAACTGTGCTTCCTCGCGTTCTCTAGATGGGAGTAAGGTAGACAGAGAAGAGAACTTAACTACGAAAGACAGAATTTTGCGAAACAACGCGAAAGCGAAATGCAAATGGCATTTAGCGCTATTAAGGAGGCGAAAGCGAGATTTCAAGAAGCATCGTCGCGTTTATATCGCGCTGGGAAACAGCGCCGTAAGAAAGAAGGAAAGAAAGAAAGAAAGAACTGAATCCCGATACCTATAAAGCATAACTCGAAGTTGGCGATTGCTGCCAAATTTTTAGGGTACTTTACATTCCATTTTCCAGACATATCGCTCGGATTCTCTGGTTGTTAAAAAAGTAATGTGTTAAATTAAGCTAATCTGAGCTTCACTGATTAGTCGGGGAAACCCTTTGGCTCGCAGCAGCTTCGAATTTTGCTCCGTGGACGTTAGGCTTAAGGAAGCGGTTCTATTTGGGTGGGCTGATCGCGTTATTATGCGCGAAAACTCGACGCACCTGTAGATCTTGCCCGAGAAGCTCATCTGCCTCTTGAACTCCTCCTTGCACTTCTTGAAATTGATGAAATCGTCCTGCGTGGACTGCAACAACTCCTTGCCCTCCTGATAACAATCCAGACAGATGTCCCTGACGCCATACACACCCTCCCTGTCCCGATCCCGGTTTCGCTGCGGACTGCAGGGCGCCGTTTTGTTCTGTTTCGGGCTCCTATTCTGCTTCACCGTCTCGTACACGTGGTAGAGCGGATTGTCGATCGGCGCCGGGGGATCGCGGAATTCCTCGGGAGGCGGCGGTTCGTCCTGGAACATCTTCGGCGGCGGCAGCCGCACCTCCTCGTACGAGTTCTCCTCCACGCTTTCCTTCGTGACGAGAGGACGATCTTTGCGCGGCACAATCTTCGACAGTTTCTGCCGCAGCTGTTCGCTCGAGAGCTTGGCTTGGTTGCGACGCTGCTCCGAGCTGGAGGTGTCGCCGCTGCTGACCCAACCCGAGCATTCGGACGTTAGGTTGCTCGAGCTCGAGCTCGGCGTGGGACTGCTGGGTCTGGTGGACGGCGGACTGAGAAGGTGCGGTATGATGGGCAGGTTGTTAGTCAGACTGTCCTTGCTGTCGCGTATCGGCATGCAGGGCAGGGAGACCGCGCTGCGTGGCACGACCACTTTGTTCTGAGTCACCGGCACGCTGGCGCATCGCAGTCTCTTTACGTTCGACGGCGGCACTCCGAGACTTGGCGGGTCCGAAGGCGTCGTGCCGTTGGTCGTCGGTGCCTCCATGGGCGATTTTATGGGTTCCATCTAAGCGAAGAGGATATTAAACCATCGGTTCAACTACGTATACAATTAAAGACACATTTTCGTATTATTTTTCAACGTTTACCACCTTACCTTCAGAATAATTTTATTGTTGTTCTCCACCTCAAGGACGCTCGTCGCAGGCGTCGAGGAGGGATGACGATACTTGGGCAATGGGGCGACTGCGGGATCTTGATATGCCGGGGGTGGCGGTGCTGGTTTCCTATTTTTATGGCTGCACTTTCTATCACTTTTGTGATTGCTCTCCTCTACCGGATGATCCGTATCGAGGACGGGCGCTGAGTGCGGTCTTCTGTTGTGCTTGTCTTTCCTTCTCTCGCGAGACTCTTTCTTCGATTCCGGCTTCAGGGCTATTACCTCGTAAATCGGTTCCTGAGCCCCATCCGCGTTTTTCTTCTCGGTTTGACCGCGTCGTTGCTTCTCCTCGTTGTAATTCTGAGTTACGCCGTTGCGAGGCGACTTGACCGATCGTTCCGCTCTCCTTCGAGTCGGCCGATCTCGCCGGAAGTCGCAGCACTCGTTGCGCACGTCGTCGAGCAGCCGATCCGTGCTCTTCGGCCTCTTCGGCTTGTCCGTCTCGTCGCGAGTCCTACCGCTGGTGTTGCCGTTCGTGCGATAGAAAAACGAGTCCGTGGTCGCGTAATAATTGGACCTCTTGCTCGCTGGATCCGCCAGGTGCAAATGGCTGCTGGTCACCGCGCTGCCATTCATGCTCTCCGGTATCTCTGGGCGACTTCTCTGCGTCATCGATGTCTTGCCGAGTGTATGATATCTGCGATTCTCGATGCCGTTCGTTTGACTGTACTTGCCCCCTGTCTGATGCCCGGATTTCCTAGAGTTCCCTCGGTAAGTGACTCTATCCAACGTCGCTGTGTGCAGCGGCTGTGGATCCTGTAAAAAGTCGCCGTTTACATTCGTCTTGGAGGATAGAAAGCTACTTTGGTCACTTGTGGTCGTTGGTAGCGGTTGGCGAGTTCCTAGACGATGACTTCGTGGCTCTAATCGTATTCTTCTGGTATCGAGAGAATGATAATCTACGAAAGAAATAAGAAATTCGTCAGTTTGTTTCCAAGAATATTAATTCGCATGTTAATTTGTCAACGTTATTCCATCAATATTATCTTATTTCATTTTGTCTTAAACCCTTGATTTTATCGTACCTTCCATCGTATTTGCCGACTTGCTTTCCGTCAAGCAGTCGGGCAATTGACTAAGGTCTAAGGCGCCCATGTACGTTGGCACAGTAAGATTCTGGTCGCAAGATTTAGACGAGGGTCGATAACCAGGCAAATGCCCACCGGGCGGCAACTCGGGAAACATCACCGCCAGCAGTGAGCTAATGGAAGAGGACTGATAGTCGGACTGCTGCTGCTGCCGGTTCGGTACCAGCATCTGCGTGGACTTGGCCCGAGGCAGGGGTATCACTGGCGTGGAGCCGAGAGATGGGTTCGGTGCGGAGCAAGCCTGCTGACCCGAGGGCGGGAAGAGGGTGCTAATGGACGGCACTGTCGACCTGGGTTTCCCCCTGGAAGGAACCGTCGCGGGTGGCGTGACATTACGACCGCCGCCACGCAGCCCCCGCGAGAACAATTGGGTCGACACAGACCTGGGCAGAGTCTTCGGCGATGTCCTGGGCTGCAGAGGCGTCGCCAGCTCGGGGCCCAGCTGGTCGAGCGACTTGCTGTGCCTCGCCGGAAGCGTGGAAGGCGTCAGTATGAGGCGGGCCTGGATCGATCCGATGTCCTGAGCTGCACCTTCGCTCCTGGGCGACCAGATGCCCATGGAGCGCGACTCCAGGATCGCCGTTATGCCGCAGCTACAGTCGTCCATGCTGGGGACTGGAAAGCACATTTCGTGTATCCGAAAAAATCGTGCGAGAATAGTACAATTATTATAAAAATCATTTTAATTGATTATTTGCGTATATGTATCATCAATTTAGAAATTTCGACTTTTATTTCTGGCCTGCTACGATTCAAATATTTCATAATATAATTTTAAATATCGCGGTAAGTATTCATTGGGCGTATACTCACCACTGTTTCTGTGTCTCTGCTGCATATCAGCGTACTGATCTTCAAAAATTAAAGGCAACGAGTGAAGATCGCCGTCCACTTCCGGACAATGGACAGGTAACGGTGGCAACGACGCGAGGTAACGCGATCTGCGAGCAGCCTCGCTTACCGCTTGATAAGACTGATAATTCGCGTCGTAACAGCCCGCTGCCGATGTTCTCGGGTTTTCTAATACGAAGAAACCCTCCGCGAACCGCTTCACCTGCAAATAATTAATTGCAAACAAATCAGAGAATTGTCGCTATTGAACGCTCTAGTATTACATTTTTAATCTTAATAATTTACAAGTCTCTCTTACTCTTAACTGATGATGAACTCGCGCTAAATGCTGATGAACCGCTTCCCGGCCGGAGAACGCTTCCAGGAAATGCTGCCAAAGAACGATATTTTGTGCGCAGAGCTGGGTTATATCAGCCTCCTCGGTGTCCATCAACTGCAAACGACCGATTTGAAGAGCACCTGCTAAAAATTGAAAGCGCGGTATGGCGCAAAAAAAAACACAAACCTTCGTGATCTCTTTGTGATTATTCTGTGCGAGCTCGAGCGCCCTTTGTTGCCAAGAAGGGAGAAGCCGTGCCAAGTCGGACAAATCGTTCAGTAAAGACTCCCTCGCGGCTAGGAGCAGCCTCGTGACTTCTTGCTGGACCAGTCTCGCGTGCTGTATCCTCGTCGTCGATCCGACGCACCTCGTAGTCGTCTCCTGAAACGATTTACTTGTGTTACCACCCAGATAGCCCAAGTCTGCCGGGACAGATTTCGTCCAAATGCTCAACTACAAATTTTGAAGGCAGACAGACTGCAGATTCCATACGGGAACTGATATACTCGACGCGTTGCCAGCGTGTCAGCAGAAATACAACATAATCTGCTCACATAACTGGACCTGTTCGATTTCTGCCGACAATCTGTTGACAGCGTATACGTTTTACAGACTCTGCTGCCAAAACGAAAGCCAAATGCGGATACATATGGCGATGGTTTTGGCGTGGGTTCCTGATGAATCTGCTGCCAATCTGTTAACATTTTGCTGACTGGGTAGGATTTACTTATTACAATTTATGGAATAATATCCGTTCAATGTCCATTTGACAGCATTATTAAATTGACGATCTGACGATTATCTCATTGTCAGACAGACTCACGATGTTTCCGAAGGTCGTCGCACTGCTGTCGCCGTTCGCCGCGGATTGCTTAAATTGCAGCCAGGGTTTCCCGCTTCGCGGTGTGCTACAATCACAATTAGACATATTACAGTGTGTATTTATGCAGAGACAATTGATTGTTATGATAAATTTAATGCAATCGGCAGCATTTACCAAAGATTCATTCATCTCTAGTAACAGCGAGACAAATTTATAATCCGGCCTTTAAATTTGTGCACGAGTCAATGTAATCACTGGCTCGTAAATTCAAATTCGAGACAAAGTTGGTTCAGGAGTTCAGAAGTCAGGCGGAAGAAATAATAAATTGTGCGGGTACTCTGGGAAAAAAAAAGATAGTTATAACCC